AATCAATTCCTATAGAAATGCTCTACCATAGGCTTGCATATCTTCTCATTCTCCACTACAAGATAACATGCATGATCAAATCATAAGGACTTTTTATGGTTGTAATGGGGCTAGGGTAAAGGGTAGGAATCATTTAGGAAATAGTTCAAAAAGCCTTAAAAACTTAGAGGAGCATGATTGAATGAACTAATAATTCAAAATAAAGATCAAAGTGAGCCAAATCTCTCTTGTTGTTTTGATAAAAATCACATCCCCATAAAATCATAAACAAATCATACTCTATTCAACATGAAAAATAATAATAATAACAAAATAATAATAATTCTCTTTTTTTTTCCCTTTTTCTCTTATGTACTGTTACTTTTTCTCTTTTTTCTTTTCTTTTCATTTTCTTTTGATTCTTTTTCATTTCTGAAGAATCATTATATATAATTTTCCTTCATTTCTGCTTCAATAACAAGCAACATACACTTTGTTCATCACCCATGCACTCTTCAATTTCTTTATTCTACTATTTTTTCCTCTTTTTTTTTCTTCTTTTCAAAAATACCAACCAAAAAGCTCATAAAATGACAAAGTCATTATTTTCACTAATAGACATTTCGCCAAACATCTTTCCCCACACTCACTCTTTATGCATTTACCCAATCAAAGCTCCCCTAGTCCTTTAGGCAAGGTTAAGGAAATCAATTTCAGGTATGAGGCTTATAATGTGGTTCCATAGCAAAAAAAAAAAAAAAAAAAAAAAAAAAAACATGGTTAAAAAGGCTCAAAGGCTAACAAAGGATAAATCAATCATGGTATGAATGGGTTATTTGGCTAGTGAGGCTAAAAATCAAAGATGGCCTTAATCATATTAAAATCATACATGCATCAAATTAGCTTTAAAGAGAATCAAGGCAAGTTCTAGAGATACAAATCTATGGAAGATATCACACAAGAACAAAATAATTGGACTGAAGTGTCAGTCAAAGGCTCAAAATCTCACAGGTTCATGCTAGCTTAGTTTAGCCACCACCATATCAAACAAAATACTAAACTAAATAGTTATAATATGCAAGACCAATTATTCAATTATGTTATGAATTCTAGTAAAAATACTATATTTTTTGAAAAATTTATTAGTAAAAATATTATATTATATTTTTTAAGGGAAGAATTAAATAATGAATAATAGTTAAATCCCCTCCCCACACTTATTCTTAACATTGTCCCAAATGTTAAATAGAATGTAAAGATAAGAGAAAAATTAATAAAAATGCAAAACGAATAAAGGAAAGAATTGAATAAACTCCCCTTGTCATAAGTAGCATGTCATTTGTTGGTGATAATCTCTTTTCAACCTTCATAAACTGGGCACTGCAGACTAATTTCTTCAACATTATATGCCTGAAAACCTTCATAAAATGGTTTTAAACGATGTCCATTAACTTTAAAAACTTTCCCGGTCTCTAAACTGTGTATCTCAACTGCACCATGAGGAAAAACATTAGTGACAACAAAAGGTCCTACCTATCTAGAACGCAATTTACCAGTAAAAAGTTTCAATCTAGAATGATAAAGTAAAACTTTCTGACCAATAACAAAACTTTTCCTAGAAATCTTTTGATCATGAAATGCTTTTGTTTTTTCCTTGTAAATTCTAGAGCTTTCGGATGCATAATTACGAATTTCTTCAAGCTCTTGCAACTGTAACTTTCTCAACTCACCAGATTCATTCATCCTCATGTTACATTGCTTAACAGCCCAATAAGCCTTGTGTTCCCACTCAACAGGAAGATGACACGGTTTACCAAATACCAAACGATAAGGAGACATACCTATTGGAGTTTTGTAGGCCGTTCGATAAGCCCATAAAGCATCATCAAGTTGTGTACTCCAATCTTTCCTGTTCGGGTTAACAGTCTTCTCTAGTATGGACTTAATTTCTTTGTTTGAGATTTCTGCCTGTCCATTGCTTTGTGGATGGTAACCTGTAGAAACACGGTGAGTAACATCATATTTTTTCATCAATGCTTGCACCACTCTGTTGCAAAAATGAGTTCCACGATCGCTTATTATTGCTCTTGGCATCCCAAACCTGGTAAAAATATTAGATTTAACGAACTCAACAACAACTTTAGCACAATCAGTCCGGGTAGCCTTAGCTTCAACCCACTTTGACACATAATCCACAGCAAGAATAATGTAAACATTATTGTAAGAAGAAGGAAAAGGACCCATAAAATCAATACCCCAAATGCCAAATATTTCACAAACAAGTATAGGAGTAAGTGGCATTTGATCCCTATAACCCAAATTTCCAGTTTTTTGACATTGCGCACATGTTTTGCAAAACATATAACAATCACGGAATAAGGATGGCCAAAGTAAACCACATTCCAACACTTTACGAGCAGTTCTTTTTGGACCAAAATTTCCTCCACATGCATATGAATGACAAAAATTCAAAATGGAAGGAATTTCTTCTTGAGATACACACCTTCGGATTATTTGATCAGAACAATGCTTCCACAAATAAGGGTCATCCCAAACATAGTATTTAGCATCACTCTTTATTTTATCTTTTTGAGATTTAGATAAATCAATTGGTAATGTTCTAGTAACTAAGTAATTCACAATATCAGCATACCAGGGAATCGTCTTTTGAACAGAAAAAAGATGTTCATCAGGAAAATCATCTTGCAATGGCGAAGGTTTTTCACTTGTAATTATCCTACTAAGATGATCAGCAACTAAATTTTCTGCACCCTTTTTATCTCGTATCTCCAGGTTAAACTCTTGTAGTAAGAGCATCCACCGAATGAGTCTGGGCTTAGCTTCTTTCTTTGAAAGCAAGTACTTAAGAGCTGCATGGTCAGAATAAACAATCACTTTAGTACCAAGCAAGTATGAACGGAATTTTTCTAAAGCAAATACAATAGCTAAAAGTTATTTTTTTGTTGTGGTATAATTGCTTTGTGCACTATCAAGTGTTCTCGAAGCATAATAAATAACATGTGAAGCTCTTCCAACTTTTTGCCCAAGTACAGCGCCAACTGCATGATTGCTGGCATCACACATAAGTTCGAATGGAAGATCCCAATTCGGTGGCTGAATTATTGGTGCAGATGTTAACATATCTTTTAGCATATCAAATGAATCTTTGCAGGCTTCATCGAACTCAAATGCCACATCTTTTTGCAACAATCGACACAATGGATTGCTAATCTTTGAAAAATCCTTCATAAATCTCCTGTAGAAACCTACATGACCAAGAAAAGAACGAACCTCCCGCACACTAGCAGGGTAAGGCAAAGATTTAATAACTTCTACCTTAGCTCTATCCACTTCAATCCCTTTAGAAGATACCACATGACCCAAAATAATACCCTGATCAACCATGAAGTGACATTTTTCAAAATTTAAAATAAGGTTCTTTTCAATGCATCGTTCAAGCACTTTTGTGAGGTTAGCTAAACAGGCATCAAAAGAATCACCATAGACTGTAAAGTCATCCATGAATACCTCTATAAAAATCTCTACAAAATCTGAAAAGATACTAACCATACACCTTTGAAATGTAGCAAGAGCATTGCAAAGACCAAATGGCATCCACCAGAATGCAAAGGTGTCAAATGGGCAGGTGAAGGTCGTTTTTTCTTGGTCTCCAGGTGCAACTGGAATCTGATGAAAACCTGAAAAACCATCCAGGCAACAATAATGGGAACGACCTGCTAAACGTTCAAGCATTTGATCAATAAAATGAAGTGGGAAATGATCTTTTCTAGTTGATGCATTTAATTTTCTGTAATCTACACACATTCGCCACCCATTTTGAATACGAGTGGGCACCAACTCACCATTATCATTTTCTATCACTGTTATACCTGTTTTCTTTGGGACAACATGCACAGGACTTACCCACTTGCTATCTGAGATTGGATAGATTATACCTGCATCAAGAAGTTTCAATATTTCTTTTTTAATCACTTCCATCATGGGTGGGTTCAATCGGCGTTGGGCCTGTTTAGAAGGCTTACACTCATCTTCTAACAATATCCGGTGCATACAAGTAGAAGGGCTCAATCCCTTAATGTCAGCTATAGTCCAACCTATAGCTTGCTTATATTCCCTAAGCACTCGGACCAATTTTTCTTCTTCCAATGTAGATAGTTTTTTGGAGATTAGCACGGGAAGAGTCTCTTCATCCCCTAAGAATGCATACTTTAAATGATCTGGCAATGGTTTCAGTTCTATCTTTGGAGCTTGAACAACAGAAGGAAGGAGTTTTGTGTCAGATATAGGCAACTCAATATAATAAGCATTATACTTCATTGGCTTAAGTGACTCCAACTCATGAACAATATCTTGCAAATCAATATCCAAAGAAAACTTATTCATGATTTTCTTCAACCCATCAGGGGTAAGATTCAAGTTTAGTGCAACCTCTAAGGCATTATTATAAGTCAAATAAGAAATTTTCTGCACAAAAGGGTCAACAACATCTACTAGAGAAACAGACGATACATCATCAGGATATTTCATAGCATTATAAGTGTTAAACTTAATGAGTTCACCATCAAATTCCATTGTGAGTGTACCATCATGCACATCAATTTTAGTTCTAGATGTTTTTAAAAATGGCCTTCCTAATAAGATTAATGAAGAATTAGTAGAATTATCTTCTTCCATATCTAACACATAAAAATCAGCAGGAAAAATCAACCCATCAACTTGCACTAAAACATCTTCTAAAACCCCCACAGGATAAACATTAGATCTATCAGCAAGTTGAACAATTACACCAGTTTCTTTTAAGGAACCAATATTCAAAGATGAATAAATAGATAAAGGCATCACATTAATTGAAGCTCCTAGATCTAACATTGCTCTTTCAACATTAACATTTCCAATTTTGCAAGGGATAGTAAACATACCAGGATCTTTACATTTAGGAAGCAACTTCTTTTGTAGAACAGCTGAAACATTTTCCCCCATGCTTACCATTTCATTGCCTTTCAATTTTCTTTTATTTGTGCACAACTCTTTAAGAAATTTAGCATATCGAGGAATTTGTTTAATAGCTCAAGTAAAGGAATATTTACCTCAACCTTTCGAAATGTGTCAAGTATTTCTTTTTGTTCTTCATCCTTTTTTGATTTTTCCAATCTACTAGGAAAAGGGGGAGGAATTACCACAGCCTCCGGATGTTCTTTGACAAGCTTTTGATCATTTTGGGGTGGATGAACTTCTTTTTCCTTTTCTTCATCTCGGTTGTGTCTGCTTTTCACTTGAGTAGGTTCTTGCAGCTCTTTCCCACTTCTCAAGGTAACTGCACTTGCATTTTGCTTTGGATTTACAACAGTTTGTGAGGGTAATTTACCTTGAGATTCCAATCTACTCACGGTAGATGCTAGTTGGCTCACCTGACTTTCCAAATGTTGAATACTTGTTCTTGTTTCTTGCTGAAATTGTTGTGTGTTAGTAGCAAGTGTTTTAACAATATCTTCCAGTGACATACCTGAATTAGAGGATGATTGTTGTGAAGATGAAGGTTGTTGAATTGGTTGTCTAGGGTGAAACTGTGGAAATTGTGGACGCGGCTTGTAGCTGAAATTTGGATGATCCCTCCATCCTGGGTTATATGTATTTGAGTAGGGATCATAATTTCTTTGTGGTTGGCCCAGAAACCCTCCAATTGCATTAGCTTGCTCACACGAATCGTATTGAAGTGTTGGGCACATGTCAGTTTGGTGTCCAGTAGCAGCACATATCCCACAAGCTTTTACTTGCTGCATATTTCCTACAGCTAACTGTTGAACAAGAGTAGTTAAATGAGATAGTTTATTCTCAATGGAAGAAATATTTACCTCATTCACTCTTCTTGGAGATGCGTCTTGTCTACATCCAAATTGTTGTGAATTAGCAGCCATGATGGATATCAAATCTCTAGCTTCACGAGGAGTTTTGTTCACTATAGCACCTCCACTAGCTGCATCCATCATATTTCTTTCCATGGGCAGCAATCCTTCATAGAAGTATTGAATAAGGAGTTGTTCAGAAACTCCATGTTGGGGGCAACTTGCACATAGTTGCTTGAAGCGTTCCCAATATTCGTGGAGGGTCTCTACGTCTCTTTGCTTAATGCCACATATTTCTCTTCTAATGCTAGCTGCTCGTGAAGCTGGAAAAAAAGTTTTCAAGAAATAGTCTTACCATATCCGCCCATGTGGTTATTGTGCTAGGAGGAAGGTAAAATAACCAATCCTTTGCTCTATCGGCTAGTGAGAATGGGAAGGCACGCAGTTTGATTTGATCTTCCGTTACTCCTTGTGGTTTGAAGCTCGAACCCACCACGTGGAACTCCTTTAAGTGCTTATGTGGATCTTCATTTTCATGTCCACGAAAAGTCAGAAGTAATTGAATCAAACCTGACCTTAATTCAAAACCAACCTCTAATGCAGGATGTTGAATACAAAGTGGTTGTTGATTAACATTTGGTGCAGAAAGCTCCCGTAATGTCCTTTGTTCTTCGGCCATTGCTTGCTCTACTTCGGGATTGCAACAAGAGGCAGTTGATTCAGTTGTGGTATTTGATTGAAGGGATGTTGATGAAAGGGCTTGATTTTTGCGCAACTTAGTTTCCTTCCTCAACCTTTTAGCAGTCTTCTCGATCTCAGGATCGTATTGCAGTTGACCTGTACGAGAAGAACGTGACATAAAAATAAATCTATTTAACACCAATCCCCGGCAACGGCGCCAAAAATTTGGTGGGTGTCGAAACCAACAAATAATAAATTACTTACTCTATAATTTGCAATAGTGATGAGTAAGGTCATACCCACAGAGATTGGTCAGACTTATTTTTAATCAAAGATTTAATAAAGATGAGAATTGAAAATTAAATAGCAACCATAAAAAGGCAAACAATATGAAATATCAAAGAATAATAATAATCAATAGTAACAAGTATCCAACTCAAGGCATAATATCAATTTAATTCTAACAAGACAGATCATTGATTTCTAAAAATAAATTACTCTACTCTTTACCAAATTGGTTATGGTTATTAACAAGCTCTAATAACCTATCTTTCCTTACTTTGTTGATAATCAAAACAAGCTATTTGATTACTTCCCTAGCGAATAAACAATCCTAAACAGGCTCTTAGGATTTAGTTTACTAACAGCATTAAAAAAATTAGAGAGATTACCAATTCTAGCCAACAAACTCAAAAGCATGGTTCATTTAAACTAGACTATATATCTTCATAACATAAGATTGAAAATCTAATTTATAATCAAGTATGTTATTTGCTACTAGCTTTAGAACACTTAAACAATTACGGATTCAAAGTTCTAATTAGCAATATAATAACCTGACAATTGAACAACGGGCCCTTTGCAACAATTAATCAAGCAATAATTTAAACTCAGATAACAGGAGATATATAAATAATAAAGTGCAGAGAACAAAATTAAGCTAAATAAATCTCACTGGTCTTGTAGAATCAAACTTCAATAATCCTTGAATTGGAAAATTCGAACTCAGCAGTACATTGCAGAGAGTGTTTACAGTAAAATAAAGTGATTCTGAACAAAAAAAACTGACTATCTCTACTGCAAAATTCATCCCTATTTATACTAGTTCAGGATCCCAAAAACATCCCTAACTTCCCTAACATCCACAAATTAAATCAATTTCTTCAACCACATAAAACTTAGAAAATAAATAATCTTTATTTTCTAATTTCTACGCACCAGGTAAAATCAACAGAATAATCTCCAGCTCTTCGTTCATCGCTTGATTCTACGAAATAGTTGATAGCCATTAAATCTCCACCGCAATTTGCAAGCGCCGTTCGTCGCAGAAGTTCGCAAAAGTCGTTCACCCGTGGACTCGTTAATCAAAGCAAATCACGGACGGAGTCTTCTGCTTGCCGATGGAGTCGCGGTCGAACTGTACTGCTGCTGTAGTTTATTAATCCTACGTACAGAGATTACAATAAGAAATAGAAAAGGATAATTAAAATTAAATGATAATTTGGCTTCATAACCCTTAAAATACTTAAATAATTGTTTTGGGCCAAATAACTTAAAAAATATTATTTAAGCCTAATTATTCACACAATTATTATATTAATGGGAAAGATAAAATAAAGTTCAAAATAAATATAATACTAAATAAATAAAATTAATAAAATTAATTTATTATAGAAACTAATCTAAATTAAAGATATAAATTGTGCTTATCAAAGTCCTTAAAGGGGGAATTGATATTAAGTGTGATCGTTGTATGTAAGGAATTCTACCATTTCGCCGTTAAGCTCATTCAATCATTTTTTGTAACGCCATTGTTTAGTACTTCTGTTCCAGATGAATACTTGTAGGACCAAAATTAATTCTCCAAATTAATTTTGTTCTTCATGTGGTAGACTTTCCCTTTGCATACTCACTTTGAGATTCTGAATTATGATGCTTGTACTAAAGACCTAAATTCTAAGGGGATCTAAAGTACATTTGGCTCATCAAAACTTTATTACAAAAATATTCCTATCACTGGCACAATCATAACCTCATTGGTGCACACATGATAATCACGCCAACATAGGTTGGGGTGCGTAAAACAACACCATCGTTCTCCGTTCACGCGGTTTGTTCTATGCACTTACCCAGAGTTGAGTGTGCACCCAACCCACCCCGAGGAGTTCAAATTGGCACTTCAGTGTTGTCGTGCGCTAATTTATTTTCTCAGTGTATGTTTACGCAGTGTGGCACAATCAGTAGGTCCAACGTGCACGCCCCTGGGGTACTGTTGTCCGTCTGGCACATTCAAAAACACGTCGGTGCACACTTGGTAATCACGCATTCTGAGTTTGCGATGTGTCGGACTCATTCACTCTTTGCATGCGTGATTTCATGTATGCCCTCACAGTGAGACGTGTGTGCACCCTGCCAAGGCTGTCCACGCCGGCCCATGCACCCTAGAGTCGAACTGTGTGCCGTTATCGCAAATTTAGTTTGTGTTTGATCAAAACTATGAACCCAGGAGTGTGCACATAATGTAGCACATCTGTTCATGCATTTGCGCACAGTAGTTTGATGATGAACAACTCATCTAACGGCAGGTTGTAGGGGTGTGCAAACTTCAGATAATTTTCGGTTAACCGACCGAACTGATAAAGTTCGGTTAACCGTTTTTAACTGAACTTTTTCGGTTCGGTTAATGGTTAAAGGAATTTTAAAACTTCGGTTAACGGTTAATTTGGTTCGAAAGGTCGGTTAACCGAATTAACCGAACGGTTAACCGAAGTTTTTAATATATATATATATATATATATATATATATATATATATATATATATATATATATATATATATATATATATATATATATATAAATACTAATTTGAAGTAATGGATGTTTGGAGTTTATAATTCAAGTTTTTTATATTTTGTTATGAATTTATTATGATATGTATTTTATTTTAATTGGATTTATTAGTTTAGGTGTTATTTTTAGAATTTTAAATTTTAGCTTTAAAAAGTTCGGTTAATCGGTTAACCGACCGATTAACCGAAAAAAAATTTCGGTTCGGTGAATTCGGTAGAGCAAATTTCGGTTCGGTTAACGGTTAAAAATAATTCGGTTAAAACGGTTCGTTTAACCAAACGGTTAACCGATTGAACACCCCTAGCAGGTTGTAACCCAGTTCATTATGCATCCCTACGAATTCAATTCAACACAGCAGCAAAATTTGTTTGTCGTTGGTTTTTGTCTGTATTCCGATGCACACGAACGCCGAGAATTCGAATCCGGCGGTGGGCGGTCATTCTCCTGGGCAGTATTAGCGAACACAGATTTGCAGACAAATTGGAGTCCTTGTTTATCTTCTCTTCCTAGATTCTTGTAATCAATCCAAATATAATATTAGTTTATAATTGGTGCCCAGACAAAATTACACTAGTATCCTTTTTAATTAATTGTATTAGAGATCTACATATAAATAATTACTTTATCTACACCATTGATTGAGTGAAAATTTATGGCTTGGATTGGTTCTCATGTTCTCACCTAAGCACATGTTCTCATATGATCTTAAATCTATATATATATATATATATATATATATATATATATATATATATATATATATATATATATAGGGATGCACTCAGGTGCGAATAAGTGCCCAGGAAGGAATATGCGAACGAATCAGCGTGTGACACGTGTCCAGATCTAATAGCTTAAAAAAACGCGGTGGCATTTTCGTAAATAATTGAACATCGAAGTGCAAGTAAAATCACTTACAAGTGCACCTACTTTCACCTATAAGTGCATGTAGTTTTGCCTTGTTAGCATTCACTTCCCGCAAACGTTCATGCATCTGGGTGTGTTTATAACTATAGGTGCAACTATTTATAACTATAAATGCAACTACTTATAACTATAGGTGCACCTTCTTTCACCTATAAGTGCATGTAATTTCGCCTTGTTAACATTCATTGATCTGAGTTCAGCAGGTAGTAATACCCCCTGAAAACCACCCGCAAACATTCATGCACCTTGGTGCAACTACTTATAACTATTTGTGCAACTACTTAGAACTATAGGTGCAACTACTTATAACTATAGGTGAACTTAGTATTGATGCTCAGTGTAAATTTTTACTTGCACCTATAATACATTTTACATTCACTTGTAATACATTTTACTTGCATTTCGATGTTCAATTATTTATGAAAATGCCACCGCACTTTTTAAAAAAATCAATGTTTCTCATCCATTAGATCTAGACACGTGGACAGACAAAATCCATTCCTATTTCGTTCCTGGGCGAAAGCATTCGCACCTGAGTGCAATTCTATATATATATATATATATATATATATATATATATATATATATACCCTCACCAATTACGGAGCACCCAAAAACACTAGAATGGGACCTTAAACTAAAGTATGAAACGTTACCAGATGAGACCATATATATCCACACCCAAATATAAAATTAAAAGCCCCATCAACATTACACAGCCTCTGGCTGCTGCCTGGCAAATCCCTTCCCCAGTACGTACTACCAAACCTTACCTATACTCCTTTTCCCCTTGTTTAATCAAACCGCCAATCACCAGAAAGTGGAGTCAGTGTTCTGATTTTTTTTGGTTGTATTAAGATTGTTGAGAATCTTACAATATTTACAGGGCGTTTAGTTGGAGGGATTTTAAATTTTCTTTTCACATAATTCTCACTTAATTTTAAATGTCATTAAATTCCGTAGTTTGGTTGGAAGGAATTGTAATTTCATGAAATTGTAATTCCTCCATTTTCATAGAATTAAAATCTCATGTCCTCCCCTAAGATTTTAATTCCTGAGATTTTAGGAAGAAAAAAAAATACTGATGAGACAAAATTACCCCTCTTTTTAACCTAAAATAATCTTTCCTTTCATTTAAAATTAATAATAATAATAATAATAATAATAATAATAATAATAATAATAATAATAATAATAATAATAATAATAATAATAATAATGGGCATTTGGACTTTATACTACTTATCCCTTTCAATTCCCATGTATACCAAACATTGGAATTGAAATTCCCAGTAATTCTATTCCTGTCAACCAAACACTGGAATTTAAATTCTCACTTTATTCCCAGTAATTCATCTCCCATAGAATTACAATTCCTTTCCGACATAATTCCCTCACTCCAACCAAACGCCTTGTTAGAGTGTGTCTTTTTATAATTATAGAACTCATTACGTACCTTAAATAATGCATCATTTCATTAATTTAGCTTCATACCTTTTCATTTTATCTCACTTTCGCACTATATTACCTATTCACTTTATCGTCACCTCTTAATATAATTTTTTTTATTTTTTATTTTTGTATTTTTAAAACCATTAATTCAATTATAGAATTATATATAATCAAACAATAATATTAACAATAATATTAGTAGTCATTCTAATAATTCCATCAACAGACAACAGCAACAACTAAAAAAAAAAAAAAAAAAAAAAAAAAAAAAAAAAAAAAAAAAAGGACTTCCCTATTCCTATTTCTAAGTTATACAAGAAACCAGAAACCCCAAAAAGACTGCTACTTGTACTCGGAGACTCACCAGCCCCCACCATCCATCCTTTACATAATCAATCAACACCTCCTACCTTCATATATAATTAAGAGAGAGAAACAGGAAACAGCGAAAGATCCAGTAGTGGATTTTGTTTTCTTGTGTGATGTTGTGTTCCTAGGCTGCAGTAGAGGAAAGTGCATTTGTTTGCTCGATTATATTCATTCAATCCCAGTTTGTGGACCATCATTTTCTGCTAAGGGGTAGGCCCAGAAGAATCGAATCGATCAGTTTGTCGAGAAATGATCGTTAAGGAGAAAGGTGGCGGTGGCGCCGGTGATAAGAAGATGCTTGTTGGGGTGGTCTGGAACTGTGCGCCGGAGCTGAAGCTTCTCCTCACCGCTCTCCTCATTCTCTTCTCTATTATCACAATTCTCCAGTTTATCCCCGCCCGTTTCACCATCTCTGCAGCCACGAATCTCGGGAGCTGTTTACCTGCGCCGTCCCCAATTGCCACTCCGATCTCCTCTCCTGCTTCTCCGGCTACGAAGAACTTCTCTGCGGTGGAGCGAGACCGTGTGCTTGAAAACGGCGTCGTTAAACGGGGGTTCAGAGGATTTGGCTCCGCCGCTTACAACTTCGTTCTCATGTCGGCTTACCGAGGCGGTTACAACACCTTCGCCGTGACGGGACTGGCTTCAAAACCGCTGCACGTTTTCGGGAAGCCCAGTTACGTCTGCGAGTGGGTCCCGGCGGATGTTTCGCGGGATTCCGTTTCCGTCGCCGGCGAGAAAATCCTGCCGGATTGGGGGTACGGCCGGGTGTACACGGCGGTGGTCGTGAACTGCACGTTCCCGGTTCCCGTCGGCGATGCTGACGCCGGGGGAAAGCTCCTAATCCACGCCGCCACCAACGGCGCCGGCGACACCCGCTTCAACGTAACCGACACGTTCATTGCCATGACCGAGACGCCGCAGGATTTCGCCGCTTTCACTTCTGTGTTCTCATCGTCTAAGCCCAACTACGACTACCTCTACTGCGGCTCATCTCTGTACGGCGATTTGAGCCCTCAGAGGGTACGAGAATGGGTGGCGTACCACGTCCGATTGATGGGCAAGAAATCCCATTTTGTGTTCTACGACGCCGGCGGCGTACACCCCGCCATGATGGAGGTGCTCCGGCCGTGGATGGAGAAGGGATACGTGACATTACAGGACGTGAAGGAGCAGGAGAGGTTCGATGGCTATTACCACAACCAATTCTTGATTTTGAACGACTGCTTGCATAGGTACAGATTCCAGGCGAAATGGATGTTCTTCTTTGATGTGGATGAGTTCATCTTCGTCCCCAAGAAGAACACTCTCAAGTCAGTGCTCGATTCCTTCTCTGCCTACACCCAATTCACCATTGAACAAATGCCCATGTCTAACAACCTCTGTCTCCGTGAAGATTCCGGCAAAACACTCAGGTAACTAACTTATCTGCATCACTAATAATGCCAATTTTTTATTTGTACTGAACTGCTCGTTTGATGTCGATGTCATATATATATATATATATATATATATATATATATATATATATATATATATATATATATATATATATATATATATATATATATATATATATATATATATATATATATATATATATATATATATATATAGAGAGAGAGAGAGAGAGAGAGAGAGAGAGAGAGAGGAAGAACCCTGTCCTAATGCATATGATAGATTCTAAGAAAACTTAATTTAACATATATTAGTTTATATTTATGAATATTTCTAGTCAATGTTATAGAAGGAGCTAAATACTACTTTGGCCGTCTGAGGGGTGAGTAATAATAATAATGGCACATAAAAAAAAAACACTCTGTCTAGTTGGCAAAATCAGGCGCCTAGTTAGGCCGACTCATAAGGCGTCTAGTTTGTCTAGTAAGGCTTGACTTAGAGGCGCTTATGGTGATTTTTACAATAGTGTTCGTAGTGATGATAGTAGACAATATGTAAAACAGATGTGGAAGTAGGTAAGTTGTATATGTAACAATGATGGTGCGATGAAATTGCAGGAAATGGGGGTTTGAGAAGCTAGTGTACAGAGATGTGAAAAGAGGGATTCGGAGGGACAGGAAGTACGCGGTGCAGCCGCGCAACGTGGTGGCGACGGGGGTGCACATGTCGCAGAACACGGTGGGGAAGACGACGCACAAGACGGAGGGGCGCATCATGTACTTCCATTACCACGGCACCATCGCTGAACGCCGCGAGCCCTGCCGCCACCTAGTCAATGCCACGGCCCTCACCGTCGACAACGTCCCCTACGTGATGGACACCACAATGCGAGGAATCGCAGGCAGTGTCAAGAGATTCGAACTCAAGACCATTGGTTCTGTGTTACAAAACACACGCCAATAACCATATAAAACAATGCTTTTTGCACAGGCTAAGCCATTGTCTCATCTAACGTGTGCAACTAGCATCATATCATATTGGTCTTAATTATATATATATATATACATTTGTATCTATCCCCCTTTTTCCCCATGATTTTCAGTTTTCCACCATGAGTATATATATATATATATATATATATACAATTGTTCATGAACGTATGAAAGTTCTTGTATCTTGTCTTGTTATAATGCAAACAGCGGATCGGATGTCACATATTCCAGCACTTGGTACATAGTAACGATAATAATGTTACTGGAGAGTAGTTGTATTGTTGTGTTTGAGTAATTATAACGAGTAGAGTAGTTGTATTATTGTGTTTGAGTAAAAGATTGAACATGCCCCCTCTACCGTCAAAGGTATTTTGCTTTTATACTACAAAACATAATTGTTACTCCGTACATAATAAGTACAACGACCTCTCAGTAATTGTGACGCTTTTCTTCATAAATGTCTTAGCCCTCTATAACTTATACTTCTTTATAAGTCGGTGCGTTAAATGCGCCTTAAATGCATTGTTCCACATGCTCTCTGCTTGATAGAAACTATTTATCAATTGCTTTGACTCCTCCAAGTTAGTGCTCTAAGTCAAGTTTAGTACCATGTCCAATTATCTCATCACATATAAATGAACAGGCTATTGTTCTTTTAAATAACAAACGTTGGTTGTTAGTACTACAAAACATGGTGGATTGAATATGATGAGGATGTTGGCCGGGTCCGGGGACCATTGCCGCGACAATGAGCGGTGGTGCACGCGTTGATCGATATGATGCCTTTGCCTGGCACCTATTATTTCACTTTATTTTCCGTTTTTGGTTCTCCATTTTCATTCTTCACCCACTGAATGCTCTGTTGGTTGGAAAGGGATTTGCATAGACTAGGACACTCCTCTGCAACATTAATCTTTGTAAAAAGTGATGTTCTTTTCATTTTGGTATTTTGTTTTTCTTAAAGAAGTTAGTCAAAAAATGGGTGTGGATGACAAAAAAATCAGTATGGATATATCTCATCTATATCTTCCCATCATCATGTCAAATACAAATTGATTCAACTGCAAATTATTACTCAATCTTACCTCCAGAAAAATTAGATATATAAAGGATCAAATTATAAAAAAAATGTCACTTTTGCATAGTTATCACCACTTTTACTATGCAATCTAAAACACTATATTTGCATTTCTTAGAATTTTTTAGGAATACACATTTAGTTCTTACAAAGTGCATGTTTATTATTAACAAAGTGCACATTGAGTATTAAAAAAAAATGTACTTGCAAAATACGAGAGTGCATTGCACTTAGGCTTTGAATTTTATAGTTTATGGCTAAGCTTTTTAGTTTTATTTGGTTTGAGATTCACTTTTTACTACTTAGGGCTATCCAATCAATCGTTATGCTATGGACCCGTGTCCAACATGCAATATGGACACGGTAACGGTGCCATTAGTGGCACCGTTATCTTCCACCTTTTTTTTTTATTTTATTTTTATTTTTTTATTTCAGACCGCTTCGTTATAGGAGTATATGTTCATAATTTTATCACTGTATGTTCATATTGTAAGTTCATAATGTCACAACTCTGTGTTCATAATTCCATAACTGTACATTCATACTTCCATAAAGGTACATTCATAATTCTATAACTGTACATTCATAATTCCCTAACTGTACATTCATAATTCCATAACTGTACATTCATAATTTTTGAAACTTTATGTTCACAATTTTAGAGTTCTATGTTTATAATTTTATCACTATATGTTCATAATTGTAAGTTCATAATGTCAGAGCTCTGTGTTCATAACTCCATAACTGTACATTCATACTTCCATAACTATACATTCATAATTCTGTAACTGTACATTCATAATTCAATAACTGTAAATTCATAATTTTCGAAACTCTATGTTCACAATTTTAGAGCTCTATGTTCATAATTTTATCACTGTATGTTCATATTGTAAGTTCATAATGACAGAGCTCTGTGTTCATAATTCCATAACTATACATTCATAATTCCATAACTGTACATTCATAATTTCCTAACTGCACATTCATAATTCCATAACTGTACATTCATAATTTTCAAAGCTTTATGTTCACAATTTTAGAGCTCTATGTTCATAATTTTATCACTATATGTTCATAATTGTAAGTTCATAATGTCAGAGCTCTGTGTTCATAATTTCATAACTTACATTCATAATTCCATAATTGTACATTCATAACTCCATAACTGTACATTCATAATTCCACAACTGTACATTCATAATGGCACAAACGAATAACGCCGTTAACACTGAGACAAAATCAATTTTTTTTTTAAACTGGAATGCCGCGTTTTTCCTGAAAACGACGTCGTTTTGGACTCGTGTCCACAATGCATTGTGGACACGAGTCCACATCATAATTTGCCCTATCCAATCTCTCTCACTTTAAAAATTGGGTTCCACTTCCACATCACCCAATTTGCAAATTATTTACTATTTACACTACATCCCTACAAATCCAATCTATTTGTAAAAGTAGACCCCAATATCATATCACTTTAAAACATTAATAAATAAATAAAATAAAAAAAAAAAGAAAACAAAACAAAAAAGTAAATAAAAAATACAAAAGCTGCCGCAACAGCAGCTGTTGCGACAACTTTGTACGGATTTCAAATTTGCAATCCAACTATGCAATAAAAAAAATATAAATGTTAGATTATTCCATATCATCTTGCCACATCATCTTGTCAATGGTTTCTTTGCAGCGTTAAGATTAGTCTTAGGGTTTAACATTTACTTTTTAGATTTAAAATTTAGTTTTTTTCATTGATTTAAAAAAAAAAAAAAAGTTATATAGCAATATACCTTTAGTTGTTACAAAGTGCATAATATAGTGTTCTAAATTTCAAAGTGAAGTTAACGATAATTATAAAAAAGTCACCGTAATTTTTTAAAAAAGTTTGATATGATATGTATCCGATTTGTACAGATATAAGGCTTAGATTAGTTTTTAATTTTCTCTTGCGAGTGTGTTTTCATGGGATTCTAAGTGTATATATATAGGTTTTGGCCGATTCTGGTGCGAAAACTTCTCCACGTGCAATAATGTGCAAAAATCTAGATCATTAGATTAGCTTAGATTAACAGCTACAATGCACGCACGTAGCGGACACAGTGCGTGTGCATACATTTGGTTGTTCACCACAGACCAACACTTGCTGGTGCACGACTGGCCAACACTTAGTGTATCACAGACCACTACTAAGTGCACCATAAACATCACTTAACGAATTATAAAGCACCATCTAGTGCACCATAGAAATATACTTGGTGTAGTAAATTATAAAAATGCCATCATGATTTTTTTTTTTTTTACTGATTTTCAGCCATTGATCTTAGCTCATCCAATGACCAAGATTTGTTTGCACTGTTGCACTTGGGGAGACTGATAGGTTTAAGATTAGGTGCGAAGGCCTCCCTAGGTAAAAAATGTGCACAAATCTAAGCCATTAAATCCATCCAGATCTGATGCTCTTCAAAAATAAAAATTATCTTCGAATTAATAAAAATTGTGCACTTGAAAGCACAAAAACATGCACTTGAAAGTATAAAATTGTGCACTTGAAGGCAAAAAATCTGAACTAAAGGAAAAAATGGTTTACTTGAATGCTAAGTATTTTTTTTAAAAAAAAATTTTTACACAATAGTAATTTTTTTTCCTTTTGCCTTGTGCCACACCGAAAAATTTCATTCTGGGTCTTACCACCTTACATTCCACAAAATCATCCTGTATACACTCCCATTTTGAGAGATCATTGACCTAGGTCCATGGATGTGGTGGATTGAACCTCAAACATGCATGCAAATCTCATAGGGTGTAAGAGTGATTTCCAAACATTTTCAACCAATTGAGCATATAACACTTCTTTTCCACGAATGCAAAGTAAAGGAACAACACATCCATGAATTCAAATGCACATCGTATCTACCTAATCTTTACAAAAATAGGATCACAAAGAAGGTACATGGTACTCACAAGAATCTCAACCCTCCCCACACTTAGGTTTTGCTTGCCCTCAAGTAAGATAAATTATTATGCAAGCAACTAGTGTGGGGGTGGGGCAAAATGGGGTGGAGCATGCAACAATGTAGAAATCATATAAATGGACCATGGTCGAATCATGCAAGAATATGAATTTGAGGGTGTAGGGAACTCCCTTAGAATGATAGTCGAAAGAAGTGAATTACTTTTCCACCAAAGGTTCTCCTTCTAGAAGTTCACGACCCAACAAGAGATTACATAGCAAATGACGAATCACACAAAACAGTGAAAAAAGAAAATAATAAAAAGAAATTATTTATTTTATATTATTGTAGTACTCAAAAAGAAATTATTGAATTTGTGGGCAGATTCATTTAAGTAGTAGAATCCTCAAATCCTCTATTCTATCCCAAATGAATGCTAAAAACATCATCTATTTTAAGTTAGGCATTAACTTATTTTATTGGAAAATTTTGTAAAAAAATAAGTGAGACATTTTGAATTCGAATATTTGGTTCGAATCGAATATATCGAATAAGTTGGTCGAATTGAATACGAATCAAATTTGGAATTCGAATATTAAACGAATATGAATACAAATATTCATCAATATAGTCAAATTCGAATCGAATAGTGATATATTTGACTCGATTCGATTCGTTTATACCCCTACTGTCAAGAGGCAAAGTGTAATCCAAACTATAATACCCCGAAATTTCTACTAGTATTACCTTCATAAAAATATCCCTACAAATGAAATTACATATTTTTGACACCTACTAATATCCAAATATTTATAATTTCAAAATAAATTATTCTACTACCAAAATTCAAACAAAAACTATTTTTATGATTTTACTAACTCTACTTTATATTATTACTAATTTTTTACGCGCATTGCGCGATTGGGATAATGCCCAATGTTTTTTTTTTTTTATAAAATAAGTACTTTAAAGTATATTAAGGCAAGATTTTATTGGAATTGTTCATGCATAAATAATTGAATGTTAAATTTGCGTATTTAAATAGGCAGATCTAAGTTTACAAATGCAAGATAATATAGTCAAAATTGATTATAATTGTCAACAAAATAATTGTATATGTATGGTTGAAACCAAATACAGGACATAAGAGAGAGAAAACAAAAATTAGGGCATAAAATATTAAATATATACTAT